TTCCCCAGCAAGCCTTCGCCTAAAAGTTAACATTTTTTGATCCTTCCTAAGTTATTTACTACATTGGTAGTTACAAAATTGTGATTTTCTTATTCTATCGTTTTTTCTACTTTAGCTAGCATTCTTTTATAAAGAAGTGTTTCTTCCCTGCCTAATCTGCTTTCTGGAGTTCAGTGTAAATTAATGGATCATTTTCGTATTCAGTGTGCTGTACTGTATTATTATCATTGTTGATATGATTCCGGAATGATTTCAAATGTGGTCAATGGGAGCTTTTGTGTCCTTGTGACATGTGCCCATCAGTTTTTAAGCATTTCTTTGTCCTCTGGCATGACAAGATGTCCTAGGCCCACATGATATGTATTTTTTTTTCTCCAAACCTGGAATCAGCTATTTTTCAAAAGAACATTGTTTTATTTTAGTGAGGAATGGTATTCAGAAGCCAAGATCTGTGCTATTGGATTTATTTCTTTTCCAAGTGTCCTTCTCTCTCACAAGTGATGATTTTTCTGAGCTTGCTATCCCTGGTTCCACGTATTTTTAAGCCTCTTCTGTTGGATTAGCTGTGCCTCTCAAATGCCGGACCTGAGAGGGTTTTTTAGTCCTTCCACAGATGTGACTTAACTTATCCCGGGAATGGTATTACTCGTTTCAGCAACCCTGTAACCCCCTCCCTCTCTTTTCTTTTCCTCTCAGTTGCCACATGATTTTTTTGGTTCCAGCATAGGTTCTGAGGCTTGACCTTCCAGATTTAATATTTCTTTCCCCTCTTAGATGTAAATTAAAAATTTTTAGTAATTTCTGTTTCCTGGTTGTACTTTAAATGGATAGTTTTATTTACTGTGTTTATTGATTTCTTTTTAAAGGGTGTGTGGTATGATTAGAATTTATGTGGGTACAATTATTCTATAGTAACTGGTATTCCTCAATTTTAACTCTTTTTACGGCTTTGTAAGATGTGAAATATACTTTAAATGTCTTTTTTTTTTTTTTTTTTTTAAGACAAAGTCTTATTCTCTTGCTTGGGCTGGAGAGTGGTAGGCTAGCTATGATGGTGTTATAGTGAATTTTATAGCTCACTGCAACCTCAAACTTGTGGAGTCGAGCAATCTTCCTGCCACAGCTGCCCAAGTAGCTAAGACTGCAGGTGCATACCACCTGAACCAGCAATTTTTCAATTTTTTGTAGAAATGAGTTCTTTATGTTGCCCAGGCTGATCTTAAGCTCCTGGCCTCAAGCAATCCTCTTGCCTCTATCTCCCAAAGGGCCAAGATTATAGGGGTGAGCCATAGTGCCCAGCCTGACTTTCAATGGAAGTTTTAAATTTAAACTTAGTGACTCCTGGTAATCAGTAAGTAAACTTGGCTAAGTTTTTAGTATATGTCGAAGTATGTCATGCCATTGGTCTCTACCCTAAATGGGCTCTAGCCAGGGCATTCTATTTGAGTCCTTGGGTTTCTTTGCTTTTTTGTAGCCCTTCTCTTTCTACTTGAAGACCAACATCAGTCATTTTCTCCCATTGTCAACATGCTACCTTCTAAACCCTAGCCACTTTATTATCTGCTATGAATAGAGAATTGGGAATTTAGATGCTATATTTTGAATATGACATTAGAATAAATAGGACCAAATGAAAGCCTGGAGGGCCACTTGGAGCTTTATTTAGGGCTCGAATCTTCTTAGAATGTCTATTAGATTATTAGTTATTTCTGACTTACTGCCAGTCCTTTACTATGTCCTAATTGAGAGAGTTAAATTGGATACATAACCTTAAAACTGAGGTGTTACTTTAGGTTTTATGTAATAATATTGAGCGAGGCAGTGCAGTGGTAAGAGCATGGCCGGCTCTGGAATCAGATTCTTTATGTTCAATCCTGGCCCTGCTGTTTATTGTCTGTGTAATTGTAAGCAATTGTTTAACCCCTCTGCACTTCATTTTCTTACTTATAAAATGAAGATAATAGTATTTTCTCCCACAGGTTTTGTGAAGACTAAAGATTGTGGTAAATGACAAGTATAGAACAGTGCCTTGGTCATGATAAGTAATTGCTATTACATTTGACATATCAGTTAATGAGAATATGTTGAATATTCATTCTGTACAAGGAGCAGTGATAGGCTATTAAACAAAGTGAGTCTTAAACTCTTTAGGATAATCTATATGTTACCTGCTTGACACTGCTCCTCTATACCTCTATCCTGAAATTTAAATATTTTAATGATAATTTTAAGGCTATAAGTTTTCCATTGAGAAAGGATAAATGGCTATCATGTAGTCTATTCACTATTTAGAGGTTTGGTTTAAATGGACATTACTAAATGTCTGAATGATGTTAATTTTAAAGACACTTTAAAAGCACTTTTTTTGGGTATTCTATAGAGATGTGCACTTTAAAATGCAGGTACACTGTCATGGAATCTTGTGTCCACTAGAGGTCGTGTTATACTTTTGTAATACTTAAAATATTATCTTTGTTCTGTCAGTGAAGTCTATTTCAAAGAAAGACTGAGATAGGAGGAATCCACTATTACTTCCTGCAAAAGTACAGTTTAAGAAAGGAAAGAAAGAAACTTAAAATGGACTGTTACACTGATAGCAACCATAATACATCATGGTTTTATATTGTATAGGAAGAAAGACTGAGATAGGAAGAGTCCACTATTACTTCCTGCAAAAGTACAGTTTAAGAAAGGAAAGAAAGAAACTTAAAATGGACTGTTATACTGATAGCAACCATAATACATCATGGTTTTATATTTGACAACTTATTACTCTATTTGTTAGGAAATTGGTTTATATTATGGAAATAACAATGAGATTTTGATATGCAAGTTAGAAATAGGAGCTTCTTACTCCCAGACACAGAATAATTTGAACTCCTTGAAATTATCTTTGAATAATTACGTGCATGGAAGTTTTTCCTATATACATGCTCTAATTTTATTAATAAGAGTAGATGTGGAGCACTGCTTACCTGAAGAATGACCTGAAGTGCCTCAGTCTGTTTTGTGTTGCTGTAAAGGAGTATCTGAGACTGGGAAATTTATATAGAAAAAGGCTTATTTGGCTCATAATCCTGCTGGCTAGGATTCCCAGGCATTAGGCAAAAGCCTCAGGCTGCTTCCACTCTTGGTGGAAGAGATGAGAAGCTGAGGTGTGCAGAGACCACCTGGTAAGAGAGGAAGCAGGAGAGCGGAGAGGTGCCAAGCTGTGTTTAACAACTGGCACTGGTGGGATTAATGAGAGCACTTAGTCACTCCTCCTACCCAGGGAAGGTATATTCTATTCCTGAGGGATCCACCCTCATTACCCAGATGCCTCCTCTTAGGCCACATATCCAGCATTGGGAGTCAAATTTCAATGCAAGATTTAGGGGACAAAACATCCAAACTGTATCATCAAGTTACTTAAATTCTCTGAGCTTTCTATTTCTAATCAGAAAAAGTAAAGTGTGAATATAGCTTTGACAGTGTTATAGTTAGCCTTAATATTTAAGTGAATGTTCTATGCACACGATAAAGTGAGTTATTCGATAAATGCTGTTGTTAGGGTACATTCTTGGAAAAATTAAGGAATCTTTAAATTTCTACTTTTTTGTCTGATAGATTATTCATATTTTTTTCTCTGAAATAGCCATTGTGGCTAATAATAGATATATTTTAAATTAACTATTCTTAAAATATTTATTAACTGAAAAATTTATTTATATAGTATTTATTCTGATGCTTGATATTATTCTTTGTACTCATATATATTCATAGCCTTAAGTATGGAACAGTTGTTTTGAAAAAAGTATTGATTCCTAGTAGTTTCACGTTTTTGCAGCACTAATGGGTTTAATTGAATTTGTGTTATCGTGGTCTGTTTTTCCTGACAATTTTGGTCTTGATGTGGATAATGACAGAATTCAAATACTAGATACCAAGGTAACCGAGAGATGGGTCAGGTGATTATGGTGTGTTATGTGAAGTTGGTGCTTAATATGTTCTCATTATGTGTAAGCTGCAAATAATAAAGGTAATCCTAACTATTGTGAAAAAAGGAAGGGTTGATTAGCATTTTCAGCATTAAAAGTACAAACATTGTAATCCTAGCACATTGGGAGGTGGAAGTGGGTGGATTGTCTGAGCTCACCAGTTCAAAACCAGCCTGAGCAAGAGCAAGATGCAGTCTCTAAAAATAGCCAGGTGTGATGGTGGGTGCCTGTAGTCCCAGCTACTCAAGAGGTTGAGGCAAGAAGATTGATTGAACCCAAGAGTTTTGAGGTTGCTATAAGCTATGATGGATGCCACTATATCAAGGGCAACAAAGTGAGACTCTGTCCCCCCCAAAAAAAAAAAAAAACACAAACAACTTTTGAACTTTGGTACACAGAAAAGATTATGAGCATATGTAGAATACCATTGGCTCAAAACAAGAAGCACATACAAAAACAAAGATGCTGATTTTTTCCTAACCACAAATACTTGGTTTCCACTATTCCTCTTCCTGCCTTCCTGATCTCCTCACCATTACTGATGGCCCCACAGCTTAAAATGCAGTTCTGCCTCATCTGGGCCTGCCTGATGCCAGAGCCTGTAGTTGAGCTGTTTGTATTTATCTGACTACCACCTTTAAAGGCCTGTATCATTATATTATATATTTCTTGTATTTGAAACATTTCTTAATAAGTACTTATGATAGAGATATCTATCATTTATGAATTTTTTGGTAAAAATTCCCAGTAGATATCTGTCAAGAATGGAAACAATCTATTAGATCTCAACTTGAGTCTTGACTTTGTCATTTACTCTGTTACAACTTTGGGCAGGTCTTTGAATTTCTAAATTTTATTAGCTGTTAAATGAAGATGAACTTTTCAATATACAGTTGTTGAATGAATGATATATTTCATATCTAGCCTACTGATTTCAGAAACATTGGGCTTGCTTTTCTTGTTTGTTTTGTTGTTTTTTAAGGAGGTGGCTATGCTTGAAATTTTAATTTTTTTCCCCTGTAGATAACCGACAAGAGAGTATCCAGAAGACATGCCATTCTTGAGGTCGTGGGTGGTCAGCTTCGTATCAAACCGGTAATTTTGTTACTAATGATTTATTTTTACTTTTTATCTCTTACTCTTTTGGTTTCTGATTGGAGTTGCCTATTTTCTTAGGTTATGGAAATAGGGAATTAATGTCAAGAGTATATTTGTCTCATTGCCAGAAGATAATTAGGAGGCAAAGGATCTAAACTATTAAAATTGTATCTTCAATAACTTTTCTCATAGCACAATGCTACATTTATATGGTTATAATTCTTATTTCTCTGAGACAGGGCCTTGCTCTGTTGCCTAAGCTGAAGTACAATACAACCTTACAATAGCACAATATAACCTTAAACTCCTGGGCTCCAACCATCCTCCCACTTCAGTTTCCTAAGCAGCTGGGACTATAAGCATGTGCCACCATACCTACCTAATTTTAAAAAAGTTTTGTAGACATGGGGTCTTGCTATTTTGCCAAGGCTGATCTTGAACTCCTGGCATTAAGCTGTTCTCTCCCTTCACTTGTGAGCCACCATGCCTGCCCATTAATTGGTGTTTTAACAAAAGATGATTGCCAGTTCATGTATGATTTTGTTTATAACTAGACATTCCAAATAAGATCCCATAAGAAAATCCATAACTATGCAATGGTTGGTTGTTTGGAGTTGGGTAAGGACTACAGTTACTTAAATGTTATGGGGTTGTATTTTCCCAAATTCCTATATATCTGTATGTAGAGTTGAATATTTCTCAAATATAGATCTTGTTCAACTTCAAGATTTTAAACATAATTTTAATTTGAAAGTTTCTGTTTAGAATTAGACTTTTAATTGCATGCTTTGTTGTTTACTGATGCAAAATCCCCAGTGATTTGCAGGGAAAACCAGTTTCTGGGAATATAGTAGTAATTACTTCCTTTCATTTGCAGAATCTATTGTCTATGCATGAAATATGTGTATGAGGGTCCATTAATTTTGGACTAGATGGTGTGTTGGTAGAATTATCATTATGGAATTAAATTCATTAATGTATAACAGTTTGAAGTCAATTTGTATTTTCATCTTTTTTGAAAAGTTGCTAGTTTGTTCTTTTCTTTATATAGATAGCACTTCCTTTTATTATCCTACGTTAAATTGATCTCAGATTTCAAAAACATCTTTTTAATTGTAGTACTAGGAAAACTTTTGACAAAGTGAATTCACTCCATCTTAATCTTGAATAAATAATTTTTAAAAAGGCTTTTGTCTGGCTCGGTGCCTATACTTAGTGGATAGGACGCTGGCTACATACACAATGGCTGGTGGGTTCAAACTCAGCCCCAGCCTACTAAACAACGACAACTATAGCAACAACAAAAAAATAGCTGGGCATTGTGGCGGGTGCCTATAGTCCCAGATGCTTGGGACTATAGAATCACTTGAGCCCAAGAGTTTGAGGTTACTGTGAGCTGTGATACCACAGCACTCTACTAAGGGTGTCAAAGTGAGACTTTGTCTCAAAAAAAAAAAAAAAAAAGAAAGAAAGTTTTTGTCTGATTCTTGTTTTGCATTGTCTTAGTGTTAATATTTGTAGTCAGCACTCTGTGGGAGGCCTTATATTTACCATTAAGTTATTCATCTCTGGATCTCCAGCTCTCTCATTCTTAGATGAGACTTACTGTATCATAAACTCCTCAAGTAGAAGAGCTGGCAAATCCTGCATCTCTAGTATTTAGCATAATGCCTAGCATGTAGTAGGTTATTAATGTATCTGTTGAATGCATGAGTCTGTGCTGTGGTGAGGACGATCTGTTGAATTTCTAGGACTGGAGACATAATGGGTTTTTACAAAAGTCTGTTGTTTTCTCGTGCCAAATTTCTGACACCCTTCTAATGAACTACCATGCCTAAAATAAAGATTTTTGTTATTACTAAAGCACCTTAAGGGAAAGGATATAGGGATTTATGTTTTGCAAAATAGCAATCATGACTGATAATACACCTGGCTCCTCAAGTGAAAGATCCATGACTTCACTACAAGATTTAGATTCACTCCTCAATAATGCATGTAAATTACAAGTACTTATAGTGAGTACTTATCTTTTGGTAAGTATATCATTTAACTAGTCTTTGATGATTGAATTTCCAGGATTTTTTTTTAATACCAAAGCAGGGAATTCCAGTTACTACAAAATGTTTATGGACATTTGTGGATTTGTACTGTTATATGCAGATGTCTCAGAAATAAATCAATAAACTAATGATACTTTTTACTCCACTTATGAAGGTGACTTGATTAATTCCTATAGCTCCTATTGCTTTTGCAGCTTTCCTTTTACTCCAAATGATATCTGAAAAATTTATAGTAGCAGAATATTTGTAAAGAGTGAAATGATCATTTTAAGAACTTAGCACATTTATTTGTGAGCTGGTTAATTAACTGAATTGTGAACAACTAAATAAATATCAGGTTTTCTCTTTACACTCTATTCAATATTTAGAAGGCTTTTTTATAATAAACTTCCCATGACATTAAATTTTTAGATATAAAAAATAGGCCATTAGGAAAATATCTTTACTAATGCATGAATGTTTTAAATTTATTTACATTTTTCTCTGTGCTAATCAAGAACATTTATATTTTCAAAGGTAGGATGTTTCCCAAATTGGCTTAATAAAATTGGCTTAGTTGGAATTGTTTCTATCATTGAATGAAAATATTCAGATAGATTTTGTACTTCTCTGGCTATTCACAAGTGTACCAATAATATAGAATAAGTATGCCTACACTAAAGATGATTTTATTAGTGAAAAATCCTTTCTTTGAGTTAAACTTTATCCAGTTCATAGTAGGCCAGATTTTTATGTAGGAGTTCCATAATTTTCAGGTAAAAGAAGACTTCTTTTTGAAAATACTTATTAGATCTTTAATTTGACAGTACTCAGATGGTAAAAACAACTGTGTGTGAAATTAACAAGTATCTTTTGAGTAGCAAACTGTAGTAGATATAATATTGGAAGCTACAACAAAAATTCCTCATAGGATTATAGATAGAGTACTAAAGTTTGGAATAATAAAGATTATTCAAATTATACTTCTGTTTATATTTATCTTTGAAATATTATTTAGTATAATTTTATGAATTTTCTAGTAAATGTGACTTTTGCACATGTGAAAAAGTTAAATATTTTGTGTCCTTTCCTTGGTACCATGTTTTTGACAGTTTAGAATGTCATGGCCTTCTGGAGACTGACTGCTCCTGTATAGTCAGCAAGTTATAGAATGGGAATTAGAACCCAGGTTCTTTGAGCCCTTGGCAGTAATATTTTTCAATGTATTGGGTTTTTCTGAGTCAGAATTTTCTTGTCATTTGGTGTTCTCTTGTTTTAAAAATTTTTTTAAGTTAAAACTAATTGATTTATCTTACTAAGAAATATGCCTTTGGTTGAATTAAATCTTAAATCTGAAGGCAACCTTAGATTCAGACTTATGTATATAGAAGTTTGATTTGGGACAGGACTGGCATTATGTATCAATGGGGAAGGGGACTTTTTATCAAAAAAATGGTAGTGGGACAGTTTGTTATTTGGAAAAAAAGATAGACCTCTATTGTAAACTATACCCAAAATCTAGTCCAGGTAGATTTAAATGTGAAGCTCAAAACTATGAAACTGTTGAAAGATATATAGGGAGAAACTTATGATTTTATTGTAGGGAAGAGTTTAGTAGTAAGATGTAACAAACAGAAATCATGAAAGAAAGATCAAAAAATGCCAATTATGGTAAAATTAGGAAGCTTTGTCGAGACACTATAGTGAAGGGTAGAGCCAGCTCCCTATATCAAGAGGTGGCAAGTTCAAAACCAGCTCTCGCCAAAAACTGCGAAAAAAAAAAAAAAGGCGCTATAGTGAAAATTAAAAAATACAACAGGGAAAGATATTTAAAACACTTGTAACTGATAAGAGAGTAATATCTAAACTATATAACTAATGTCTTTAATTAATGAGAAAAAGAAAAATAATCCTATAGAAAAATGGGCTGAAGGCTTGAATTGCATATTATAAAAGTAGAAATCTGACTGTCTAACAAATATGAAAAAGGGTCTCAACCTCCTTATTAAGTGGAGAAATGCAAGTGAAACCACAATGAGATATCATTTCATATCCAAAAGATTGGCAGAAAGGAAAAAGTCTTGCAATTTTGAATATTGGTGAGGATATAGAACAACTGGGATGATTATAAACTGTAGGTGGGAGCTTAGATGGAGCTTAGATGGAAAGCCACTTTGGAAAATGGGTTGAAATTATTTCTTAAAGGTGAAGATGTGTTCATTGAAAGCTCCTTACACACAGATAGACCAAGAGACAGATAAAAGAACCTGCATAGCAATATTTTATAGCAAAGCTGCATAGAAAAAATGCTAGAAGCAACATAAATTTCCATGACCGGCAGAATTAATAAAAATAATATATTTATATAATGAAATATACTACAGCAGTGAAGGTACATAAATTACTGTGAAAAAACATGGATTAAAATCTGGAATACAATATTAAATGATAAAGGCAGACATTAGAAAAATATGTTTAGTATGATTGTGTTTATATAAAATTTAAAATCCTACAAAATGAACAGCACATGTAGGGTCATAAATGGAGGCAAGAAAATTGTAGAGAAAAGCAAGGAAGTGGTAAACAAAAATCAGTGTAATTATTAACTTGGAATTGAGGAGAGAATAGGATAGGGAAAGGCTCATGGGACCTTAAAGGTAGTGGTAAAATTTATTTCCTTAAATGGGGTGCTGGTCCCTACATAATACCTTACGTGCACTATTATGTCTTTAAAAAGTTATTGTGAAACATTTGTGACACGAAGGTATAAAGAATAGCACAATATACTGCAGTTACGTCTGTAATTCTAAATTACCAAACAGGGAAAGACCTGAAAAAGTATATTTATTTTTTAAGGAAATGTATACCTGTAATCCTGAATTTGATTATTATTTCAGAAAGTATTTAATTGAATTTTGAAGAATTATGTTTACATTATGATACTTAAAGGAAAGCTGCATCTTGGTCTTGGCTATAAATGTATAGGTCTCTTGCTCTGTGTAATGCTTGATTTCTTATTTATATTAACATAGCTTTGATATTTATTGTACATAAAAGGTGCACCTTAGAGAAATTTAGAGACATTCTAATACTGACTTTAATTCTTGATGGACATTTTAAGATCTTGAAACTGAGGATGAGATTGAAAATTGACTTACAGTTCCTTCATTTTATCTTAATGTGTGTTAAATATCATTTATCCTCTGTTTCTTAATCTGTTACAAATTCTTTTATCTGATAAATAAAGTTATATATACAACTGTAATAAAATGTTGAGAGAGAAATTTTAATTTAAAAAACTTGGCAAAATTATATAAGTGAATATACCAAATGTTATGCTATGATGATCTATGTGCTGTATATTTCAAAATATGTCTAAGTGATTAAATGTTTTCTGCTTTTCTTTAATTTGGAAATCCAAACCTACCACCAAATAAAAAGATAGCTTCGACATCGACAGTTGAATACAATTAGGGCAGTTACTAATTTGTACTTTTGGATTACATTAGTTTCTGCCTTTCTTCCCTCTAATATTTCTCCTTTAAAAAGTACTGTAGCTCTCCAGCAGTTCTCGGAAATAGGGCATGAAGAGATAATGATAGCTCATGAGGAGATGATTTTAGCTTTTTTATGTGTCATTTAAATTTAATCTACAGTCTGGTATCAGCAGGGAGAAAAGGCATTATAAAGGCAAACTGATGATGTTCTCTGTAAATGACTGTATTACCAGTGATTGGTTATGTCCTCAGGGTGGATTCATAGCTGTAGGTGCTTTTATTTCATTTTAATAAAATCTTACTCATTTTGGTTCTGGATGATTGAAGTAGTAGCTCTATAGCTGTATATAAAGTGCAGAATTTTTTTTGTTTGATATTGATCCTCAAAATATACATCTTTGGGTGGTTGTGTTTTTTCTGTTGCAGAAAATTTTTTAGTTGCAATTGTTTTTCTTCTCATGAAATTATTGATGTACTTGGAAAATATCTAGAAAATACTATAATAACCGTTCCCTTTCCTGAACTTATTTTGAAAAAGCAAACAAAAAAGCTTCCCAAATTAAAAAAAGAAACACTGAAAATACAGGTGCCTTTTGGGGGAGTATACATCAATCTTGCTTTAACATTTAATGATAACTCTGAAAGAAAGCTATGGAAAATTGATTTGTATTTTAGTTCCATTTCTTCCAGGATAGTACATCCTTTGCACTACTGCTAAAGTTACAACAGTCTAAGTGTGCATTTATAATCTAAAGGATATGCTAAAAGGCACACACCAATAATATATCTCTCATATAAATAGCTTACATTTTTTTAATCATTGCATGTTTGGGCTTGCTAATATTTTGTCTATTGTTGTGTACTTTTAGAATCAAAGTTAAATTTGTCTCATTGGAGAAATTGGGGATCCTTTCATCTCTTTCTGTGCATGAAAAGGGTTTGAATATTCAGAAAAATCTTTAAATCTGCTTAGGTCTCATTTTGGGAAGAGATGAAAAGAATTTAGATTATTGATTGCATTTTTCAAATAATACAAGTCCAATTCAATGCTTTTATAATTAAATACTTTCAAACAAGGCAACATACATACACATAAGCCTTTTTTCTCTTTTATGTATAAAAAATAATTATGATTATTTTTATGGTTATTATAAATGTCAGGTTTATTAAACTTAAATTGTTTTGATAACAAAATTCTAGATGAGTTCACATGTAGTTGTATTTTGTTGTCATTTTGAGTTATAACATTAGTGTACTATATTCTTTTTTATTCGTTAGATACACACAAATCCATGTTTTTATCAGTCTTCTGAGAAGTGTCAGCTTTTACCATTGAAGACAAATCTATGGCACTGGTTGAATCCTGGAGATAGTTTCTCTTTGTTGGTTGACAAATACGCTTTCCATGTTTTATCTACACAGTCTGAAGTGGATATGGAATGTACTTTAAGGTAAGATTGTCTGATGAAATGAGAGTCAATGATGATCTTTGTAGTCTAATTTATCAGCTGTCACAAATGCTTCAGTAGAAAACATTCTATGATTAAACCAAATTGGAGGTAGAGAAGCTACATGATTTGTGTGTACACGTGTGTGTGTGTGTTTCTAGACAATATTTGACTTTGGAAACTTATGTGACAGTGGTTGCTCCCATATGTGGTGTCTTCTACCATTTTATTTAAAATGTATTTCTTCTACCATTTTATTTAAATATAGTTAATTTAGAATTGGGTATTTTTTCTTCACTTTTTTAGCTTTTTAAATTTTATTAAGGTATTAACTTATGTCTTAAAATAAATTTGTATGACTCTTTTTTCTTATAAAAATAGCAGAAAATATAGGGAAACTGAGGAAATGAAGTGTTAGTATAAATATACTGTTTTCTAATGTAAGGTTAAAATTCATATGCAGTTTTTTTGAGACAGTCATTAGAAGGTTTATTCGCCTTTGTCTTATCTTTTAAATTATAGAATGCATAAACCAGACCCTATACAAGTAAATAAACACAATTATACAGAGTATGTTCTCTGATTAAAATGGTATTAAATCAGAAATCAGTAATAATTAAGATATCTATAAAAATCTTTAAATATTTTGAAATTAAATAGTACAGTTCTAAAAAAACTCTGGGACAAAGAGAAGTCATAAGGGAAATTCAACTGCTGAAATTAGAAAACATTTTGAACAGAGTGAAAACAACATTAAAATTTGTGAGATGTGGCTCAGTTTGTAGAGGGAAATTTATAGTTGAAAATCTGTAGTAGAAGAGAAGCTATTATAAAACAAATGATCTATGCTCTATTTAAGAAGATAGATAAAAAGGAGTAAATCCCAAAGTAAATAGAAGAAACAGAAATTAAAAAAGGAGAGTTGGAGAATGCACATTTCCTGATTTCAAAACCTATAACAAAGCTGTAGTAGTAAGGATAGTGTAGTCCTGGCATAAAGAAAAATATATAGATCGATGGAATAGAATTAAGGGTGTAGAAATAAGCCCTTGCATTTATGGTCAGTTGATTTTTGACAAAAGTATCAAGACAATTGGGGAAAGAATAGAAAGTTAAACTCTTACCTCATACCATGTAAAAAATTAACTTAAAATGAATCAGAGATCTAAATATAAGAACTAAAAGTATATAACTCTTTGGAAAAAACATAAATGTAAATCTTTATCACCTTGGGCAATGATTTTTTATGCACCAAAAATACAAGCAAACAAAGAAAAATTTGATGAAATGGACTTGATCCCATTTAAACATCGGTGTGGGAATGGGGAGGAGGTGTGCTCTCACCTAAGGGGCACAATGTATCTATGGCATTCTCACTGGGTGCAGGACCCAATTATAACAGGGACCTGACCTAGCAAATGCAAACACCGTATGTAACCTCATATTAATCTAAATTAAAAAATAATAATAAATACTACCTTAAAAACAAAAAAAATAAAAAAAATCTGTGCTTCTAAGGACATCATCAAGAAAGTAAAAGATAAACCAGAGAATAAGAGAAAATATTTGTAAATCATATATCTCATAACAGACTTATTTCTGTAATATCCAAAAAATTATAACTCAGCAATGCAAAGGCAAACAACTCAATTTAAAAATGCACAACTGATTTAAATAGACTTTTCTTCAAAGAAGGTGTACAAATGATCAATAAGAACATGAAAAGATGTTCAGCTTCGTTAGTCGTAGAGAAATGTAAATCAAAATCACATTTCAGATGGCTATAATCAAAAAGAACGTGGAGAAACTGGGTTTATACATTGTGGGGTTGCAAAATGATACCGCCTCCTTGGAACATATTCTGGCAGTTCCTTAAAACTTAAATAGTCCTAAGTTTTAGTCCTAAAACTTAAAACTATATGGCCCAGTAATTCCACTCCTAGGCCTATTCACCAAATAATTAAAAACATATGTCCACATAAAAACCTGTACATGGATGTTCACAGTAGCATTATTCATAATAGCCCCAAAGTGGAAACAACCCAGATGTCCATCAACTAGATAAACAAATACGGTGTTTTCATATGACAGAGTATTATTCAGCCATTAAGAAGAACGAAATACTGATAAATGCAGTAAGATGGATGAGTCTTGAAACATGCTAACTGAAAGAACCCAGCAGAAAAGGCTATGTATTGAATGATTTCATTTATGTGACATACTTAGAAAATGTAAATTCCTAGATACGGAAGGTAGATAGATGAGTGGTTGCCAGGGACTGGGGGAAGAGGGAATGAGAGGACCGCCCATGGAGACCGGATTACTTTTTGAGATGATGAATATCTCCTAAAATTATAATAGATATTGGTGATAGTTGTACAACTCTGTTAATCTAATAAAAATCACTGTATAGTACATTTTTTTTTTTTTTTTT